AACCTTTATACTATTTCCTCCCGTAGGGTCTCAGGTTTAAGGTTTAGGGGTTTAGGGGTTCATGGTTCAGGGTTTAGGGCTTAGCGATGTTTGTAAGTAGTTTGTTCGACTCAGAATCATGAACCCTACGGGTCTGAGGGTCCATCCTGGGTTCTGCTTTTCCACGCCCATGGCTTCTCATGTGGTTTTGAGGTGAAATTTCCATTCTAGTCGGCTGGTACGGTGCTTGATGCTAAACCTGGCATGGTCGGTCTGTGCAAGGGTCGTATCCATAGCCTAGCTCCAGCCGACCAAAGCCGCTAGCGGTAAGGACTCCGTTCCCAAAGCTCTCAACCCCTAAAGCCTACGTCCTCAACCGGAGACCCTCCATTTCTGCGGCAAAGCTGGCACCCGAACCCTACCATGAACACCAGAAAGCTGGAGCATGGACTAAGGATGCCTACTGCTCGGATTTCCTTTGCTTCATGTTCGGCGCATGAGGATCATGTCGTTCCAACTTCTTGGGGCTTCTGCTGCAGATCTCTCACCGATCTGTGCCCCTTCGAACTTTTGCGAATTCTGAAGGCCCCCCCCCAAAGGAGTCCATTAAATTTACAGGAATCCTGAACCCGTGACAGCACATTTCGCAGCATCAGGTTCGGAACTTCTTTGCCACCGTAAGGTGCCGCCACATTGGATCAAGGGGGTTCAGAATTTGGGGAATAATTGATGACCGGGGTCAGAGTTCAAGACTTGTGGTTCAAGTATGTGATGTCCAAGAGTCAGGCTTCAGTTTGGGTTTGGGACTCCGGGTATCGGTCAGACCGTAGAATTTGGGGCTCATGATCGGGAACTAGCAGCTAACTAGCAGACCTACCCTTAAGACGATGTGAGAAATCACTGAAGCCCTGAAACCCTACAGAGTAAAGTAGAGGCCAGAAAGTTTGAGCATCATTGTCCTCATGCCCGTAAGGTCAAGTATAGGGGATCCTAGCACTAATCATCCCACATCCGTGTTCCAACTTGTGGATCCCACGAAAAACCGTAAACCTACAGTCCAAGACCCTCAACCCCATAAGCCCGAAGTTGTACCCTTAGAACCTATATGGTACTATGGTACTCTATAAAGGAGCCCCATTATGGAACCCTCAACCGTCAACCCGCAACCCTGAACCCTCAATCCTAAAAACCTAAAGCCCCCTAAAACCTAAACCCCTAAACCCACCTAACCCTGAAGCTCCCCTAAACCGTAAATCCCCCTGAACCCTATAAACCCTAAACCCTAAACCTCCCTAAACCCTAAACCCTAAACCTCCCTAAACCCTAAACCCTAAACCTCCCTAAACCCTCAACCGTAAACCTCCCTAAACCCTAAACCCCAAACCTCCCTAAACCCTAAACCCTAACCTCCATAAAACCCCCCTAAACCTCCCTAACCCCGAAACCCGCAATCGCAGGCTCTTGCTGGACTGGAAAGCAGACCCAGAGAGTCGAAGCCGCGCCGGTCTCACCGTCCTGGAGCTCCGGGGCCCTTTGAAGCGGGGGCCCCTTTAAAGGGACCCCTAGAGATCCCCTTTAAAGGAACTCCTATAGACGCCTTAACGGCTTCGGGTCCCTTTAAAGGGGCCTACTTGGAGGGGCAGGGGGGACTTCGTGGGCTCCTTAGAGGGATCTAGAGGGTTCCTTAAAGGGATCTATGGGGTTGAGGGTTTAGGGTTTAGGGTTTAGGGTTTAGGGTTTAGGGTATAGGGTTTAGGGTTTAGGGATCTATGGGGTTGAGGGTTTAGGGTCTACTTGGAGGGGCAGGGGACTTAGTAAGTAGGTTATAAGTAGAGTTACAAGTACCGTAAAGGGAGCTACCCCAACTATAACCTACTTATAACCTACTTACTAAGTACCCTGCCCCTCCAAGTAGAGATCCCTTAGAGGACCCTTAAATTGACCCCCTATAGATCCCTTAAAGGATCCCTTAAAGGAGCCCTTTAAGGCCTTAACGCGTTAAGGGGCTTAGGGTCCCTTAAAAGGGGCTTAGGTTTCCTTTAAGGGTTCCTAAGGGTTCCCTTGCTGAGGGTTCCTTTCAGGGTTCCAAAAGGGCTTCCTTTAAAAATGCGCACGTTTAGTATGCAGTTCTCATACTTCACATTGCCAAATTGCTGGGTCGGAGTTTGCAGCAAGGCAACTGACGGGCATCATATATTTGAAACTCAGACAGTATGCCATGCCAGATAGCCCCCATATAGAAGCATGACAAGACATTTCCAGAGGGGTTCCGCTTTATAGCTATTCCGACAATATTGAAATACCGTAGATAACCTCTCAACAACGCCGTAACTGTTAGGGCCGGTCCTTCAAAATCATGAAAGCTATTTTGGGATTCGGAGTGCCTGTGCAGGACTCTGCGATCAATGCGGGTTCTACTTTGGTGGCGCACTTGCTGCTTTGATCGAATCAGTGTCATGAGTCTCTGTGTGTGTGTGTATGCATTTATCACCGTATCCATATGTATATTGAAACGCTTGGACCTTCCAGTCTGGAGCTTACGTTAACCTTAAATCCTAAGTAGCGACAAAAAAGCGAAGCGTAAGCAGCACGTACTATTTTGGGGGTTCCTTGTTATAGTAGAATGGGCCCCATTTCAAAGCCAAGAAGAGTATTATAGGGGTCTTAATAATGGGGTCCTTGTTTTAGTTATAGTATAATGAATTGGCTTCTGCCATAATCGGGATACCAAAGTCTACACTGGCTCAGGAGATGCGAGTTTCAACATAGCAGCCGTGTTCATCAGTCCCTGTTGCAACTAGTGTAGGGTATACCCAAAGCCCTAGTTGAATTATAAGGCCACTACATTGGTGACATCTAAGACTATGGCCGTGGGTTTTAAAGCACGGGAGCGTAGGGTTCACCATAACACCAAGCCCTCCCTAGAGGACCTGGAGGCCCCATATATAGTACCTATTATGGAATTAGGTCCCTAAAGCCCTGATAAGGATGGTCTTTTGGGGGGTTTAATTCCATAATGGTACCATATATGGTCCCTAAACCCTAAAACCTAAGCCCAAAACCCTAAACCCTTAAACCCCTAAACCCTACCTAGCCTAGACAGGGTCTAGAAAAACCCTGGAAGACCTGACCCTACACTCCTACACTTTAGTAGTTTAAATCCGAGCCCTAAGGCTCCATGTACCCATATAGTAGGTACTTAGGCCTTAAAGGGATCCCTGTATGGATACTTTAAGGCTTTAAGGCCTAAGAGTCTACTATACGGGTACATGGAGCCTTTAGGGAATAAGCCCCTAGACTGTAAAACACGAATCCATCAACCGCAGCCCCTAGATCCTGAACTGTGTTCCTGCTGCCTGTTGCGCCACGAGCAAAAGGGCTGCAGTCTCTCTCCGACATGATCGCAGCAGTTGAGGAAGACGTTACAAGGTAGGAGTATTTTCCTGTAGGGTGTGGTCCTAATACACGATATCCTAAACCCTAAACCGATATCCTACTACACGATACCAACTCCAGGATGTATATACAACTTTACCCAACCCTACGGAGAGCCTTCCTAAGACCTTCTACAAGTGCGAGAAGCAAGACTAAACACCAAGCCCTAAACCCTAAAAGAGCGGCAACACCCCGGAAGTCACACCAACCTCTGCAAAGGGTCCGAGTATTAGCATATTTTATATTCTCGTTTTCCCAAATAGCTACTAATAGCTAAGTACCTACTGTAAGGGTAAAAATATAGTATATACTTTGGGGGCCCAAATAGCTACTAAGTGCCTACTGTAAGGGTGCTCGGACCCTTTGGGCTCCGTGAGACACCCGGAGTCAACTTCCAAGGCTTCTGGACCGGGGCGCAGGGAGCTCCCAACCGCAGGAGATCCATCCTTCTCACCCCTAACCCCAAGGACCCAAACGGTTGATGATAGAAATCCTGCATTACCCATAATAAGGAATATGTGGGAACTATGGTATATATTCCTTATGATGGGTAATGCAAGATTTCTATCATCAACCGAAGGACCCAATAATCAGGTACCTGGGTTTAGGACAGTGTAGGAACTTGATTAAGAAACCTTGGGCCTTTAATAGGGTTCCTTATACTACTAGTTTGGGGTTAAAGACCCCAGGCTTTCTTAATCAGGTTCCTACCCTGAAATTCTATATAGCACCCTTTAAAGGAACCTTTATAGCGCCCTGACAAAGCCCCAGGGTTTCTTAATATGAGCGGTCCTATAATCGGGAGTACTTGGATCCTGCGGGGTCGGTTTCATCCAACTTTAGGGCTGAGGCTGTCGCTGGTTCCGTAAACCCTAAACCCTAAAGAACATAACCCTGGCCACCCTAAGCCCTAAACTGTCTATAGACCTTATAAACCCTAAAGAAAATATATAACCCTGAGCTCAAAGTCTTAAGCTGTCAAAGAAGAGGTTCGAGATGGATTTGTGGGGTTTAGGGGCTGAGGCGAGGCAGGGTTCAGGCTTCCGGGGACGGAGACTTAATATAGGGGCCGGCCTAATTAGAATAGGATTCCTAAAAAGGGGGTCTTTAAGGGGTATTATAAGGATTTAATATAGGGGCCGTAATAATTACCTATACTAGTCTGGGGATTCCTTACTATAGATACAGTATATAATGGACCCAAAATCCTATTCGAGTTCATAAGGCCTCTATCGTAGGTTTCGGGGCTTTGCGAGTTCATGAGGAGCTGAAGTGGTTTATACGGTTTCTGGCAGTTTCGGAGCTTCATGGCGTTCATGGGGGTCTCAAGTGGTTTCTACGGTTTCTCGGCCTGCAAGACAGGCCTTTTGTTTGCTTTCCACGGTAAGTGTGTGCATCATGACACAAGATGGTCGACAACGGTACAATACTTCCCACCCCTACACCCTGAGCACCTCACATGCGAGACACCTCGGAGTACAAATCGAACTGAGAGCAATGCTTGGCTGGTGTGATTATGAGATACGGTCCGAATAGGGAGCCGGATGAGGCGGTGCTGGAGCTCCGGGCAGTTACTCTTCCTTGGCATGCTGCTCCGTTCTAACAAGGGCAAGGAAGTACTTCCCCAGGTGCAGGGAGTGGTGAACCGATGGGAAGCTACGGGGTTTCCTGTGCAACACTTCCACGCGCATAGGGCGAAGGAATTGCGTTCTACGGCCCTCATAACATGGCTAGAGTACCGGGGTATACATACTTTATGGACAGCGGAGGAGTCTCCAGCAGGAAGCCGCCCGGAACTAGCGGTGCAAGGGCTGAAGGCTTTCGTGCGTAAACTGTTGTTGGTATCGAAGCTAAACAAGACCCAAAGGCTCCAGGTACCCATCTAGTAGGTACTTAGGACTTAGGCCCTAAAGTACCCATTAGGGACCCCTTTAAGGCCTAAGTGCCTACTATATGGGTACGTGGAGCCTTAGGGAGAGTGTTTGTCCTCTAGCCTTGACGCGCGCTTCGGCCAGAAGCTGGCTGAACTTTGACGACGCGGTTGGTAATCACCAAGCGTGCTTTGCTGCTTCAGGGTTTCCGGGTGCAGGTCTTACTGCAACTCACGATCACCCATTCCTAATTAATTGCCCCCAATAAGCCCTGAACCCTACCAGTACGCTTTAATGGTGGCCTCGTGGTGCTTTTGATAGGGGCCTTCAGGGTCTACTGAGGGTGGTTGGGGGCTGTTGCCAATCCCGGACATGTTGTTGGGTCTCGGACTGGGGGCCTCCTCTTACCACGGTCATGCTAAAACCGTACACCCAAGACCGTAAACCTGAAACCCAAAGCTCGCAGCCAAACTCCGAAGAGGCTGCGGCAAGAACTGGAGTAAACCCTATACCTTAAACTACCACACAACAATTTTAACAATTGTTGAATATCACTGTCGGCCCCAATAGAATGCAGCATTCACCCGGTGGCCCTACCAAAAGAAGTAGGTTGTTGTAGGTCGACGTCAGCTTAAATCCTATAAACCCTAATCCCCAGCTCGTAAACCCTAAATCCCTAAGCCTAAGCCCTCCGATCGCGGCGAGGACGCCTTGCTCGTGGCCGCAGGAAGTCGAGGCAAACTGTGGCCACGACAGGGGAATGCCCAAAGTTTAAACCCTAAAACCTGAATCGAAGCCTCAACCCCAGCTGACTACTGACAAAAATTATATATGTGCCCTCTGATCCTCCCTGTGCGCGTGTGGTCTTGAGATCTGAAAGCGCTGCGACCGAAATCCCGCAAAGCCCGCTTCCCAGAGCTTCAAAACCACAAGCCTGGACCGCAATCATGTACTATAGGGGCCTAAATAATTGCCAATATTCTTTGCAAGCCTGGACCGCAATCATGTACTATAGGGGCCTGAATAATTACCAATATTCCTTGGGGAGTACAATGGGGCGCAAAACCCTACTCTAATTATTAAGGCCCCTATATAGCTCCGAACCCTGAACCCACCAGCCCAAACTTGCCCTATAGGGCTTATAGAGGTTTGGGGCTTTTTATCCGAACGCACCAAAATTTAAGCCGCGAGTCCAGGTTTGGATTCGCTGGCGCCGCGGCTGATCCAGGCGCCCTACTCTCGCCCATATACCCTCACGGTCCATGTACCCAGGTAGTATATACTTAGGCCGTACAGCAGTTCTTATATGGGTACATTGGGGCCAATGTAAATATATTGTTTGGGCACATGGACCCTTAGGGATAGTAGATAATTGGGCTGTCAAGTACTGATATAGGGACTACGTGAAGACATATATGCCATATGGAAGCATGGATGGACCCTTCTACGGACTACGACAAGGGAGCTTCCCCCACAATTTAGGGGTTTAGGGTTCAGGAGGACTCTAAGATTTGGCTCTCCGGGCCACAGGAAGCAAAAGCGCCTGGTTCCCTTCGTAGTTGATATCACATTCGGCAACCAGCCCCCAACTTCTTATAACTGAAGCCCAGCAAGCTCCAAAATCCCTTGGCTCTTTTGGGGTTTAGGGCTTAGCGATTTGCCAAGGATATATTCCTCAAACTACGCCCTGAACCCCTAAAGCCGTATACAGCCCAAAATTACCTAAACCCCCTGAACCCTGTAAGCCCTGGTCCCGGTCAGGAGTGCAGTGCCGATGTTGATGGCGCCATCGACTTGGGCGTTGAAAACGAGGTGCGGGCCGGGTGTGTGGGTAAGGAATTGTATCAGGGCACAGGGTTTGGGCATACCTATAGTCTCCATTGTAGTTCCTTGTTTTGGTTAACCAATATTATGGTTAGGATCCTATTTTTGAGATTTTGGTTAACCAAAAATGGAACTACAATGTAGACTATAGGTAGGGTTCAGGGCCTTGGGTGTACCTAGAGTAGCCTCGGTACCCTCAACAATGGAAAAGTACCATTGTTTTGCGTGACATCTCCCTGTTTCTACGGTACATTGGCCTTTCTGGGCCGGGCCCAGAAGCTACGAGTACTATGAGGGATTTGTGCAGATAGAGTTGATGTAACGTGATCCGCTTGTGCTCGAAGATACCCTCAAATCCGATCCTAGTTGTTGTTTTCTCATATAGTGGGGAGGGGTTGTGATAACCAGGGGTCTATTTTGCAGAGCTTGACAGGTAATGGGCAGCTAGCCTGTCAGGGGTCTATATGGGCTTTATAATGAATTCAGTGGTAGTTAGCCGGTCTAGGGTCATCGAGTTTATGTATGGTTCGTGGATACTTACCGTGTGTAGAGCTTAGGATTGAAACCCCGTTCGTAGCAATTCATGGACATACACGTGCAAACAGGGTTCAGTTGTTTCTGTATATAGAGTTAAGAGCTTCAGGGATCTTAAGGACCGCGTGACCCTTAAGAGTAGGGCCCCTATACTCGTATGCCATGAATGGCTATATGGCTTTTGAACCTTATATAAGTCTTTAAGGCAGCCCCTGTTTAGGGTTGATTGTGCTCTTTGCGGGACAGCTGACTAGGGCTGAAACCTGTGATCCTGTTTCAGGACAACTCCTCCTCTAGTCCTCACATTTCCTTACTTTATTGATGTACACCGAACGTCTATGCTGCAAACAGCACTGTCAAACTATGATGACACCAACACCCCCAAAAAACAAATCTTCAACATCTTATTACATGATGATGATATACCCCCCAAACTCTGTTCTACTTACACGCACCAGGATGCCCAAGTCGTGATGCAGCTGCTGCAGCTACCCGGAGTACCTTTGGGCAATTATGCTAAAGGGCTCTGGCTCAGTCCAGTGTTTGAGGGTCAAGAACTTAGGGTTCGGGAATGTTAAGGTTTGGGGGCTGAGAAGCTGTTCTGCTTTATGGTGTGTTCAGTGTGATGGCAACCCTAAACCCAAAAAGCAAACCCAAAAGGGACCCTAATTTGGCTTCTGCAAGTCGTTGGTCAACAAAAAGCCAAGCCCCGCAGGTGAACCGGGTGCTCACATGGCTAGAAATCTGTCGCGGTCGGCAGTGCCGGACATGTCGATGGTGTAGGTTTCGGGCTTAAGTTGTGTATGAATGCTGATGGAGGCTTCCTGCGGCTGAGCCCTTGAATCCTGCAAGCCTTAAATTCGAAGTGTGAACTAGGTTCAGATTGCTTCCGGTATGTTCAAAATTCTATATTAAAGCTATGAAGGACATGGACACCGGTAGCAACATGGCACAGCCTTTGCAGAAACAAAAGGCATGTACAGCGCAACAACCGCCATTGCAAGCCAGAAGCTCAATCGCCGACGATACTAAATCATACTGCGAACCATGCCAAATCCGCTTTTTTTGTCCTAAAGCATGATTCTGTCCTTGGAGTTGCCGAGCAGTTCCAGGCGAAACAGCGCAAGTGGGTGAAGCAGTGGCTGCTTCGACGTGCTGCTATCAACGGAGATTTGCCGTTGTTGGAGGCTTCCCAGCAACATGCGGATCAACCCTAAACCCTAAACCCCTAAACCCCTAAACCCTAAACCCTAACCCCTAAACCCCTAAACCCCTCAACCCTAAACCCTAAACCGCTCCGGTTTCTGGTATACTTGAATTTTGGGATAGCCTCTGAAGGATGAACTTTCGGCTCCCCCTAGTTAGAATGAATTAGGGTCCTAAGAATGTGTATTAGCAGGCCCTTCAGCAAACGTGGATTGCATGTGCGGATCCACACCGCGACCTTCTGCCTCATGTTTGCCATTTCGTTCCTGCAGAATCACAAAGTCAGGCGGCACTGCGGCTTCGAGTTCCCCAACTGCCTGACTATTTCGGCCGATGTATACCACCCGAAAGGTCGAGGTAACTAGGGGTACCTACTTGGAGGGGCAGGGGACTTAGTGAGTAGGGTTATCATTGGGGTAACTCCATTTAGGGTAATTACTTACAACCCTACTTATAATCTGCTTACTACTTCCCTGCCTCTCCAAGTGGGGAGTAGAGAGTTTGGCCCTACGTGGTCTGCACGAGACCTTTTGCTGTGATTTGCGTGCATGAAATCTGAGCCCGAAGCCCCAAGTCCCCAAATTCGACACCCTAAGGGTCCATGTGCACATATATATATATATATATATATATACTTTTATTTATTTGTAGTTATGTAATTATGTGTGTGTATATATATATATGCACATATATTGGGGGCCAGTCTACCTACAGAGGGAGTACTTTAAGGCCAATGTATATACTATATGAGTACATGGACCCTTGCGGAAAGAACCTGTGCTCTGACAGGGCGCATTAGCTCTTCCCGGCCTGGATGTCAACGACGGGGCAGAGAGCCACCTGGATGTTTAGATTTTAATTTTGCGATGGTTTACCTGATACCCCCACTGAACCCTAGCTTTGCAAGGGATTCATAATCAGCAACCCTGCCTTCAGGCTTTTAGGACTGATGAGTGCCAATGTAAGTGTTGTTAGGGTTTTTAGGGTTTTGTGCTTACGGATTTACCCCAGGGGTCCAAGTACCTAATTAGCATATACTCTCCAAAACCAGTAACAACCGACGTAACTATCATCCCAAACCCGAGTACCTGATTATTGTGTGTTTTGGACCCTTACGGTTGATGATATAAATCCTGCATTACCCATAGTAAGGAATATACCATAACTCCCATAGTTTAGGGTCCTTAAGGTAATGCAGGAATTTTTATCATCTGGTTAGGGTTTATAGCAAACCCCATAAAGTTGGAAACCGGATTAAGGCCAAATAGTGCTGGGATTCCTTATACCTGACTCCTAAGGATTGAGGCTATTGAGTTTCCAACTTTTGGGCTTCTACTGTAGGGTTTAGACTTTTGGGTTTTCGAGTCTGAGGCTCCAGGTTCTGTTTTTTAGCCGTCTGGGTGGCTGTGGGCAATTAGGGGTTCCATAACCCTAAGGGTCCATGTACCCGAAGAGTATATACTTAGGGTTTAGGGGTTTAGGGTTTAGGGGTACTTTGGCCGCAAAGTAGCTGTCTAGGGACTACGGCTGAGACTTGGTGCTCTTGTGTTTACTAGACAGATCGGAGCAGTTGTTCATGCCATCCTTTCTGGTTTACATGATATAACTATACGGATCATATATTACCCAATACACCTCAACACCCTATTGCGGTCATTAAGAGATGTTAAATCCTCCAAGTAGCTGCACTTTTGATAGTGCTGGTTGAACCCTTCCCTCAAAGAACCCAGACTGTGGCAGAGCGACAGCACGGAGTTCGAAAAGCTTAGGGAGTTTAGGGCTGAGGTGTTGTTGAGGGCTATTTTTAGTGCCCCCAGAAGTGACAAGTCGCATTCACATCTAAAGAAGTTTGGAACAAGGGCTAACTTGATGGTTCGTCGACCCCCAGTTCAAGCCCTATAATCTCTACTTTGGAGGATCAAGGAACTTAGTAGCCGGAGTGGGATGCCTTGAATAACCACGAACCTATGTACCAACTATCTGGAATGATTTTCTTTTGTGTCAAAGCTACACTGGCTATTTCAGAGAGCGAAGCCGTTTTGAGCCATTCAAACCCTCTTGCTGAAGAGAGAGAGAGAGAGAGAGAGAGAGAGAGAGAGAAACACAAAAACAAAGAAGGGCGGTTCTACAGTTCTACATTGCGAAAGCCTTAAACCGTAAAGCCAAAACATTGAGATGAGCCAGCTTTCGAGGCTCCGTCGGCCCAGCTTTGCTTCTTGCAGCAGAGGGCGGGCACGCGGCCGTTTGCCAAAGGCGGCGGGACGACAGAGTTGCTTTACCCTATAAGGGTCCATGTACCCGAATACTGTAGTCTATACTTTGGCCCTCACGTAGTCGCTATATAGGTACAGTGGGGCCAAAGTATTTACTATTTAGGTGCATGGACCTCGGGTTAGGTCTCCATGCGAGCCTTGACTATTGAGGTGGTTCACCCTAAGGGTGCACTCATATAGTAATTATATACATTTGCCGTAAAGTACTCTCTATATAGGTACATTGGGCCCAAAGTATATGCTATATGGGTACATGGACCCTTAGGGTCAATGAACCACAAACCTGCTTCGTAGCGGGTGCAACAACAGAACCCAACCCGTAGCACTGTATAGTTTTTGCGGATCATGTACGCCCTGAAGCTCAAACCGTCTACTAGAGGTCTTCAGAACCCCCGCATCGAAGTCCCAAAGGTGCAGTCTGGCCTTTGCAGGAGGAACCAACAACCTGCACCTTAAACCATCCAGTTAGCAACCGTGAAAAGCCTGAACCCTGAACCTCAAATCCTACACCCGAAGCCCTAAACCGCAAGTCTTAAACCCCCTTATAGAACCCTTATGGATCCCTTTAAGGAATTGTGAACCCGAAGCCCCAAACCTAAAGTCCGAACACCTGCCTTGTAGATCGCTTATAGGTAAAGGATCCCTTTGAAGGAGCCCCTGCACTGCGGAAGGCTGTTGCAAGCTCGCGCCGACCTTTCGATGGCGGCCCGGACTGGCCTGAGAGGCACACGGTACGGCTGATGATGTAAATCCTGGGGTTCCTTTAAAGGGGATCCTTTTATGGTACCCTTCAGGGGGTTTCAAGGGATCTACAAGGCTTTAGGGTTGATGATATAAATGCTGCATCACCTTAAGGACCCTAAACTACGGGAATTACTATGGTATATTCCTTATTATGGGTAATGCAGGATTGATATCATCGACCGTATCGCACGAACGAAAAGGTTTAGGGTGTAGGATTCGGACCCTAAACCTGAAACCCTACCTGGACGCTACAGAACCTACCTTGTCAAGGACTTGTATAAGGAAATCGTAATGAGGAACGACAGATTCAAAAGGTAGGATTTTAACGGCTCCAGGAAAACCCTGAAACGGCTTATGATTCGCATCTGCTTTAGGATATACAACATATAGTATGGAATTTAGAGCCCTCTACCCTACACCTTGCCTGGACCCTAAAGAACCTACCTGTTCACATGTTTAGGGCATTTTAGGGTCAAAAGCGGTAGGCTATTGAGGGTCCCGGTAAACTCGAAGACGGTGTGTGGTTCGCAGCCGCTTTAGGATATACAGTATGAGATGTAGAGACCGATGGTCTGAAGGGGTCGTGGGTGGGGATGGAGGGTTGTTCAAGCTAAGCTTAAAGGGAACTCCAGAAAGTTGGAATATGGAATAATGTATGGATCCCCTAAAATTTCCCTTAAAGGGACTATGATAATGATATTCCAACTTTCCGGCTTCTACTGTATAGGGTTGTCTGTAATGGATTGTAGGGTGCTTATGAGACTTCTCAGGGCTTTATGTTCGGCTGGTGGCTGCTTGGGGAAGACATAACCCCTACAGATCTCTAGGCCTTTAAACTGGTTTAGGGTCCAGAAACTACAGTCTGCGAGGTGCAGATACTTGGACCGTCGGGGGACTTAGTAACTGGTTATTTTAAGGACTTATCAGTACCATAACCCCAGTTAGGGTCCCTTTTAGGGTACTTATAAGTCTACTTACTACCTACTTACTAAGTCCCCCGACCCTCCAAGTATCTGCACTACACTTCGACTCCGACTCGTTGAAACTGCTACACAGCATGCTTGCCCCTAAACCCTGAACCCCTAAACCCTAAACCTCTGTCTTTTCACGGAGGCCGCTGGACGGCAGCAGATGTCGCCGCGCTCCGCGCTAGCCGCCCTGAGTTTCAGGAGGTGCCCGGGCTTAGGGTCAGGGTTTTCAGACCTCAGGCGCTACTTATGTACGGGGCTTCTGGAAAAACTAATCCCAAACCCTATTCTAACAAAAATGGCCCCTATATTATGTATTTTTTGCCTTTACCTTTCATGTGGCATTTGTCTTCAGTTCAGCACTTTCATTCCTAGGATCAGCATGTAAGGAAGCAAGACAAGCACTACAGTGTAGGAGCAGAGGTAAGGCAGGTAAGGCTCATGTCTGGGATTGCTTCCTTGCTTATCTTCGTGCTTGCTCCATCTACGAGGTCCATATCTGTATATCATATTATGTGTGGATATATATATATATACATACATACATACATACGTACATACATACATACACACATGCATACATACATACATCTCTCTCTCTCTCTTTCTCTGTCTCGCCGTCTCTGCTCTATTTCCTCAGAGGTGCCCATATTTATTTATGCCGAAACCAAACTCAACAGTACGAACACGTCTCTAGATTCTCTGGTGTGCCTAATGTGAAGCAGGTCTTGCACGTCCTCGGCCAGTTCGGCAACCAGCCGTTCGCGTTGACTGCAATGGCACGGGCCCCATGAGCTCCCAGATCCAAACGTCCCTCAGGCTTTGACCTAAGTAGCTATACGAACCTACTCGTAACACAGTTAAGACACCGAAACCCAAAACCCAAAAAGTTCAACAGTCCTTGAATACTAAAGCTTCCCAGCAGCTGGGTGGAGAAGATCGGACGACCCGTTTTGGTTTGGTATGATCCTGGCACAATTGAAAGGTTGACCCGCATTGGGCCAGGCAAACTCCGCCGCTAGGGCTAACATGGCCTCCAGATGATGAAACCCGACTGATGTTTGAAGAATCAACAAGTTTCCTTCTGGGAGTATGCACGTAATATCCTCCCGCAAATGAACGGCGAGCTTGCTTTCTTTTTTTTCTAACCGACAAGCAATGTATCTATGGTTTCGGTGTAAGTGTATATCTTACTGGACACTGAAAAGCTTGTCATACGGCATGAAGAAGCCGAGCAGTGTTCTCTGGTGGGTTTAGGTTGGGTACGGCCCCCTCTCAGTAACAGTTGGATAATATTCATGATACAGATATATGAGGCCCTTATTAGTCGCCCAATTATACACTGTTACTGTATGGGGGCAGTACCCAAGGTTTCGGGTTCTTGGCAGTTTCCTTTCATGTTTTCTGTGAGCGTTCGAAGCGGCTTCAGTTCGGGTGTTGTGGGCGAGGCGCAAGGCTCAAAACCCGCTTCGAAATGATACGAAAGCTGACGTCCCAAAAAGAGAATAGAGGCCCTGTCGCACCGCAGAATGACTGTAGAGCCCGGAAAGAAGCTAAAAGCTACAACTCTTAAGGCAAGATCCCTTACATGACCCCCTATATCAGCCCTAAACTCGCCTTAGGCACCCCTTCAACTCACCCTAAACCCGAAACGCCGCTGAGCCCTCAACCCTGAACATGCACCCCTACCATAAAGAAGCTTACCTAAAGCCACAAACTCTCCAGTAGACGTGTAGAAGACCCCTTACATGAAAGGGGCTTAAATCCCTAAACCCTCAGCTCGAAAACCCTACAGAAACTAAAACCCCAAGTCCTAAACCCTACTTTGAAACCCTATCCTAAACGCTGAGCTCTCAACTCCAAAACCCTAAAACCCTAAAAGCCCTAGGCCCTAAACCCTAAACCCTAAACCCTAAACTTCCGAAGGCTCAGTCGTTGAAACCGGCCCCCTGCTTCTGAGACGACCGGCCCGGCCCTTCGGAAAAATTTTGGCAACCCCTCACGCCCTAGGGTTTAGGGCTCCTTAGAGGGATCTATAAGGGCTCCTTAAGGGATCTATGGGGTTTAGGGTTTAGGGTCTACTTGGAGGGGCAGGGGACTTAGTAAGTAGGGTATAAGTAGGGTTATAACTGGGGAAACTCCATTGAGGGTACTTATAACGCTTCTTATTACCTACTTACTAAGTCCCCTGCCCCTCCAATTAATTTTTTTTGGTTTTAGGGGCTGAGGGGTTCGGGTTTTGGGTTCCCTGGCCCCTGCGAGGTGGAACCTGTCATCCGGCCTTTGCAGCCTTCATCCCGAAGTCCTAACGCTTACTTAGGGGATCATTGGACTTAGTAAGCAGGGTCCACAGGACCCAATAGTTAGGTACTTAGGTTTCGGATGTGGTTATGTAGGCTACTATTTGGGAGAATATATGAATATTAGGTACTTGGAAATTTGGGGTCACAAGTAAGGTAACCATGGTTGTAATTATCTACTTACTTACAGCCTATTCGAGGGGTTTCCCGAAATAGGGGACTCTGATATAGTACGCTAAATAGCAGGATCCGTAGTATACTATAAGGACCCCAGAATAAGGTACCCCTAATTTTCGCAAACTCCCAGATGCCATGAGGTGGAGACTCTTCCCTGAAGCTGTGCCGAGACAGAAGCTTGAATTCGAGTTTGCCTGTCTGACTTTCAGGGCTCTTCTCCGAGAAAAGTAGCGCGTCGGTTGATGACATAAATCCTACACCTTAACTTCATGACCCTAGACTATGGGGATTATGGTATATGCCCTATATTATGGGTAATGCAGGACTTGTATCATCAACCGCTACAGCGAAGGTGCAGAAGTTGCGAAGGGAGAACTGTTTGCAGCATCGTCTCGCCGTATCCTTCGGTCCTTCAGGGTGCTGACCCCTGGTGTTCCCCCTGTTCTTACCTTTGGTTAGTAGGGAATGGAGGAATGGGGGTACAATTATAACTACTATTCTTGCCGTTCTTCCATTCCCCATAACCAAAGGTAAGTGTTGTCCACTTTGTTGAAAGTGCGTGCATCTAGAATGTCAAAATACCCGAGCAGTACGTTCCCCTCTTTTCTGCTCCGGAGAACATCGGACTGTGTTGGCCTCATATGGTCCGGTTGGTCACTATGTCACGGTATGTTGATTTATTCGCTAGCACGATGCCTGCCGGGGATATTAAACTTACGTGTAGACATGGAAATCTACACCGTGTTCAACTAGCATCGGGGCCCTGAGTCTTAAGTATTTCGAACAGGGTTTTGGTGTATATTACACAGTACCTGTTGCTTCCTTTGATACGTTAATTCTTGCTCGTTTGATCGTTGTATGCATTCCTGGGTTTCAGCCGGTGAACCGAATGTAAACGTACAGTGCGGGCGTTTCTTCCTGAAACGAGCGATAACGAGCGATTCTTGGATTTGCAGGCATTTTGTATGTCATCCGCATCATGGATGCTGCAGTGTGCATCGACCAACCACAAGATTTAACCGCAGTTTGATCTGCAGTCATCGATCAATGCTGTGTGCACATCACCGTATATCTAGAGTCTAAAGAGTCTATAGAACCATATAGCAAAACCCTTTCGTGCATGGTGTGCCCGCTGATGCATGGTGGGATGGTGCAGGCATCGACTGGCATCATGAGCATATGTGGGCCGGGTCGTAGCTGCCATCTGCATCGATGCCTTGGCTTGCATGCAGGTCTCAACTTTTGCCCGCGGGTGTGATGGAAAGGCCAGCTATCACTCAACGTGAGGCTCTATAGATCGATCGATGCCAGGTGGCGTCTTCACATGCGCGGCCTCTGGGGCTGCTGATCGTTGAAGTTCGAAGAGGTGAGCCCTCCTGTGCCGATCTGTTGATGCCATGCAGTATACAGGAACGTGCATGCTTGATGACTTGCAACTGCATGCATGCTTCGATATGTTTCTCAGCTCAACTGGTGTGCATGCAGCATGCACATGTCGCAATGGCATCTTTAGGGTCCCATAGGCTAGGGCTATAAGCGCTATATAGGTGCTAGGGGTGCATCCATGGCGGAGACAGCCATGGAGGACAGCAGCACAGACCTTGCTAGGGCGTGGGAGAAGGTCGGGGAGATCCGCCGGCGCATGGTTTTGGGCAAACTTGTGACGAGACTGCATGACACAATTAATGTATATATATATATATATATATATATATATATATATCGATCACACCATGATGCTACATGCCATGTGTGCTGTGCATTTGAGGTTAAGCAAACGCCCACTGGAACTGTGGACCGGCTGGCGCTGGAGCTGAATGAAATGGTGATTACACCTGCCATGCTTCACCTCGGAACCCGTGTGGGTGTGGATACCCTGGAAGTCCACATCGATGCCCTTTTTGTCCTCGCAAAAATTCCAGTGACTAGCATCTTGTCCAAACCAGTTGTGCACGTATATATGCAATTGTGGCAGGAGCAGTGACTGCGTGTGCATGTGTGTGACTTGCAACGATTGAGGCAACCAAGTTGGATCAATGGCCTGGCAGGTCAAAAGATTGCTTTCTTTCTTCAATCGTGTAAGCGGCCGGCCTCATCGTCCAAGGTCCATGGCAATCCGCAGGATGATGACGGCAGTCGGCATACCGATTCCTGATGCGAGCAAAGGTGACGCTGCATCTGATGTTGATGATCTTGGTGAATGTGAAGGTGAAGAAGAAGAGTATATGGAAGATGATGAGATTGTGACCCCGGGGCCTGAGGTTGGGCAAGCTGAGGTTGTGTCAGCTGACGTTGAGCCAGCTGGCTCTATGGTACTTGAGGTCCCAGCTGAGCCTAAGAACGAGCCACTGATGGAGGTGACGGAGCGACCATCAAAGCTTCGAAGAATGGGTGGGGCTAGGACAGATCCTCAGGATATGCAGCTAGCTGAAGATGTCGATGTCCCAAGACCAACTGATGAGCAGATGCTGGTGCTAGCAGCCGACCATCAGCCAAACCCGTCGACTGAGCAGAAGCCACAGGACAACGAGGAGAACACTAAGCAGGAGCCAGTGGACAACCAGAGCCCCAAGGCTAGCCAGGAGCCACTCGTGGACAAGCAAAACCCCAAGGCCAAGCAGGAGCCACTCATGGACAAGCAGAACCCCAAGGCCGAGCAGGAGCCACTAGACAAGCAGAACCCCAAGGCTAGGCACGAGGCAGTGGACAAGCAGGGCCCCGAGGTTAAGCCACAGCCCACAAAGCTGGTCATCCCCAACAGCTTCCAAAGCCCCGACGGAGAATCTGGTGAAGGCCTGAATACTTTCCTATTGCCATGCATGTGCATTGCAACCTAGCTTATAGGAGCTCGTGTTTGTGTAGCATATTTGTGTTGCATGCAACTTTATAGCTCTTGTGCGCAGGCTTGTCTCCCATGTCAAACTCAAGTGGCTTGAAGCCTGAGAAAGGTACTTTATCTGCAAATTACTCCATGAAGCCTATCTCCCTAGCTTGTTGATGATCGATCATATCCCTGCCCTTGCCAAGGTATCACGATGGAGAAGCCCAAAATGCACGTGGTGTCTGCAGTGGCTAATGATGAGTTCAAGTGCCTGGCCTGTGGACTGATTGGCACGATCGAGATCCTGGGCCAGGGTGGGTGCAAGCCAGAGCTTGCAAAGAAGATTCGGGAGTTGGTTACATGTCCACATTTATAGCTTATTGCTGTGCTGCAATTGCAACGAACAATGCTGCATGTAGACGATCTGCATATATGCACACATATAATATTGTACACGTTGCTCAGGAGAGATTGAAGAAGCTTACGGAGGATCTCG